ATATATATATATATATATATATATATATATATATATATATATATATATTTTTTTTTGGGGGGGGGGCTCCTTTCGCGTTTTTATTGAATTGGTAGAAGGGCCCGCAGCGGTTGCGCCGATCGTTCCGGACTTAAAACGGGCTCAATGTAAATTCTTTATAACGAACTTATAATGAAATACTCTTTAAACCGTAGATACTACTCGAGATTGGTTGGTTCACATTATTACATATCAATTCAAACACACTGTAATGTAATTGGTTGTTTACATTACTACCCATTCATTCAAAAACATTCAATAATGTGATACGTACATATAACAGTTATGTTAAAACTTAAATGATAAACAAATTATTTAATCTGTGGAAAAAAGACAGAAGGAAACCTTAGAGAAGATGATGGCAAAATAGAAGACTCAAAACCACCACCAAGTATCCAACGAGCAAAGCCGCTAAGTTATTAGAAGTATGTAAAATATGTTATGAAGATTATCACTTATTATCTGAAGACATGAATAAAATTTATTAAAACATACAAACCAAGTATTGGTGCAGCAAAAAGTATCAGGTCAAAATAACCGGCTATACAAAATAATAGAGATTTTAGAAATTGATTTATGTATACCTACTGTAGTTATAAACATTTAAAAAAAATCTATTTGTGCTGTACATTGTCTTTCCTCAAACTTCTGTATAACGAAAATTCTTTATAACGTAAGAAAACACTCGGCCCTGGTGTTTCAGTGCAGTTAGTTTCCACAGTATTTATATATGTGATTAAAGCAACAATTTCATTCTCCTTATAGTATGTTTTATTTACTTGCTAATAACGTACGTCACATGTAAATAAAAAAGTTCAAAGAAAAAAGAGCCCAAAAATAAAATTGACCCCCTGTTGTTTTAGGCTGAGCCTGGTTATGATGCTACAGATTTCGTCGGCGCATGTAAATTGAAGATCAGAAGGAAAATAAAAGTTTTTCCTATATGGAAATTGAGGACGGACCCAGGGAAGGGCACACATAAATTGAGGACTGCCTCATCCCCTTCCAGGTAAAAGTGGAATGTGTCACTTTGTTTTCGAAGAACATTTTCATAGCCATTATTTTTAAGACACAACTACCTCCTCAATTTTGCAGACTTAAGTCTGGCATATTTCTTTCGAAATATGGTTAGGTTAAAGTTAGTTTTCATTCAATTGAATCATTTATTTATTGAATGAATTCTGCTTACCTTGCCATTTTTATATCCTATTTTTCTGCTAATATTCTTAACGCTGAACATAAAATTTGGACACACTTCTAGTGCTCTCTTTCCTTTTCATTTTGATACAGGAACGAGTCTGGAAGATTTTCTTGAAGTCACAAGGTGCAGATACGTAGACGTGTTGGCACTATAAACAGGCGCCACCAGACAACTTGATATTTGTACACAATACATCAACTCCCTACACACCAACCCACCAACCCAAAATTCATCAATGAAATAGAAAACGAACACATCTTCAAACCTCCTTCATCTCACCGTCATGATAATACAGGACCACCATGAATCCAACATATTCAGAACCACCCACACTGACACGCAGCCTTCTATGCTATGATGCATTGGTTAATTTCAATACCCATGTCTCCAGAAAACACAAAGAAGGAAAGAACATCATAAATATATTGCCAGAATGAATGGATACGATCATTGACAAATTCATAATTTAAAAAAAACACACACTATATCCGCAAACACACCAGTCTCATATCAATTGACAGGAACACTCAGCCACGTACCTCACAATACCTTGTAGAACCCCTTTCTCTTAAAACAGCCACTACACAAATTCAGTCTCAAAACTACTTTCTACAACACGCGTACATTACAGAAAACGCTATCCAACACTAAAGACCCTATCTCACCCACCTTCTTATGATAGATGTATACTCTCACTTGCAACCACTGCAATGCAACTACATAGGACAAACAGACCGAAAAACGCACAGAGAACCAAATAACACGAACAAGCATGGAAAAACAACACTACCGCAGTCTCGCCTCACACTTCGCGGATCACTTATATTTAAACACATACATCCGATAAACATATAAATATCTGTATTCTATAAATTAGCAGAATTAAATTAGAATCCCTACATATACACAACATTCTCAAAAAACTGAACATGACTTGTCTTAACCAGCAATTCCCTGAACTCTCTTCACCTCTGCTAAAATTAGCACCAGGTGTACACCCCTAACTCCACTCGCCTTCGCTCGCCCGACCCCTCCTCACGCCTCCACCAGCACCAACACGTCTTACGACCCTTCGCCCCCCCCCACCCCATTCCCCCCCACCCCTCTTCGAGCCACACCAGCTGCCAACCGACGCTCTGTTGTTAAACAAGATACTCTAAAAACCGCACTTTGTTTTCGGCTCGGAAGTTGCAAGGTATGTACGACCCACTTTGCTAACGCATCTGGTAAACAATGTCTACATTTTGTATATAACATTTTCTATTCTACCTAATTTTTATAATTAATTATTAATTTTATTATTAATGTAATTTTATTTCTGTAATTCTAATTTTAGCTCTGAGGATAATCGCTACGCGATCGAAACGATCATTAGCAAAATGTATTGGTTTGATACCAGACATCTTTAATTTACCATATTTAATTTTTAAAACTCGGGAGGTGGCAGTGGTCTTCCACCCGCTTATAGCGAGATCCGGCGCCGACCTACCGTCGACCAGCGGGGGTTTTCCCAAACCAGGTATCTCACACTATCAGGGCATTGCCCAGCCGGGACAAGCTCTAATCTTCCGACCATACTCTCGACATGTGTGTTTATGTAGGGAGTGGTAGTGTGTGTGTGTAAGGGTTGAGGATAGGAAGAGGTAGGAAAGATCGCGCGCGGTCCATGATCCGTTTGTAAGGTACTTCTCCTGGTGTTGTCATTCGCCTGGTGTTCACAGGAGAAACCACGGAAATCTACCGATCAGAACAGCTGCCCGCTAGAATTCTCCTCCAGACAGACACTGAATTTGACCTATGGAAAATACTGTCACCGTCGGGACTCGAACCTAGAACCTCCCGGTCAGAGGGACTGCAGTGATATCAGTTGATGCCCTAAGCCATCTCTACCCGTCTTTATTGATGGAGAAATGTAAGGTGATTATAATGGTTATTGCCGATCCTAGTGGCCGATATCGTTAAGGCAGTAGTGCCGTGGCGATCTCGGGCCGAAGTATCGCGGGTTCGAGTCCCGCCTCGGGCATAGTTGTATTTGAATCGGAGAAAACAAAATCGTTTGATTCCAGAAGCTTCAAATTTTGAAGAGCAAGCAAAAAGGTTCTAAGTTTCGGACATCGAAAAATTTTTAACGGTTGAAGGACACTTACAGACATCACAGAAGTCACAGACAACGAACTTTTATGCATGGAAAATTGAATTTATATTTTAAGAATAGTTTCCCATTGTTGACTCAAATCCGGCAAAATTTGGCTAATTAAAAAAAGGTATTTGAGTAATGGGTTGCTGAGAGTGGAAACGGTTTCAATAAATACAGTACGTTATTGTGCAAATGGAGGCATACTTGATGTTTCTGTAGGGCATAGATATGGTTGGGGACACTGTGTGTGAAAAGGGTGATTGCAAATCTAATTGTGAAGATGGAAGCTTGGACGGGAGTATGTGGTATGTTAGGATGTGGCCCGGGTCGCTGTGTTTGGAAAGTGGGAGTAAGTATCGTATTTGTGGAAATAGTGGCTCAGATGGTTTTTGTGGTGGGTATGGTTTGATCTAGGTTGCAGTGCGTGGAAACAGTGACAGAAAATCTCGTAATTGTGAATGCACATGCTTGAATGGGTGTTGTAGTGGTTTTGATAATGGCCGGGGTATCTGTGTTTGGAAACAATTGCGGTAAGAATCGAATTAGTAGACTCGGAGGAATAGAACCTGTTTCTGATCGTAGGCCTCAACCGGGTTCGGTTTGAAAACAGTACCTGTAAATCAAGTAATTGTGGAGATTGAGATATTGTGGCGGCACAGAGAACCAACTGGAATGGGGGCCATGAGAATAAAATAATACTCTATTAAATTTATTAGGAGGATTTCGGCATCTCTCGGAAAACGTATATAGTTTCCACGCCTTGGCGCGTGCACGAACATGTTTTGGGCCACCCGAAGCGTCCATTGCCAACCTCCGTCAACCTGGCACCCTCACTTCATTGAAATTCAAAATCAATAGCCTATAATTTTGTACCACAGAAAAAATTGTGTACTCAATTATACACAATAAAAAAAAGACCTCCAAACGTAGGGGTGCCTGTTTGTCGTTAAGTAGACACTACCACTTCTCAGACGTTCGAAATCAACTAGCGTGTAATCTTCTACTAATTATATACTAATTTTGTATTAAAATAAAAAAGACCACCAGGCCGCAGCCCCAATTCCGCCCCCTTCCTGTCTACTCAGTGCGCTCACCTTATGTGTCACACTAACGACGTGAGTATCGCCAGAAATCTGGGCATCCACGCGCAAGGTTTCAATTCCCTGTCAGGATTGTGCGAGGGACAACGCCTCAAGGCTGCAGCCCCAATTCCCACCTCAACCTGTCTACCCCTTGATCTTAGGTGACGCATTATCGACGTGAGTACCGCGAAAAATCTGGACATCCGAGCGGGACATTTCAATCCCCGGACAGGATTGTTTGTGCGCCAACACAAGAAGGCCGCAGCCTCAATTCCGCCCCCCCCCGCCCTGAATACTCCTTGTACTCACCTTTTGTGACGCACTAACGACGTATCACCGGAAATCTGGGCATCCGGGAGGAATTTTTCAGTTCCCCGTCCGGATTGTGTTTGGCACAACGCCTCAAGGCCGCATTCCCAATTCCGCCCCCAAACCTATCTACCCTTTTTGCTCACCTTACATGACGCACTAACGACGTGAGTATCGTCAAAATCTGGGCATCTAGATGCGAGATTCGAATTCCCAGTCAGGACTGTGTGTGAGACAACTCCTCAAGTCTGCAGCCCCAATTCCGCCCCCAACCTGTCCACCCCTTACGTGACGCACTAACGGCGTGAGTATCGCCGGAAATCTGCGTATCCGGCCGGGAGGATTATGGATCAATCAGGATTATGTGCGGGACGCTACAAGGCCGCAGCCCATCCCGGAGATTGCTCAGCCCGCGCGGGCAGAGAGCGCGAGCCGGGCCGCGATTCCGCGAGCGACTGACCGCGGCGGCGCTCGGTTGGCGCGAGGCGGCGCAGGCCGCGGTTGAAAGTGACAGTGGCGGCCGCCTCCCTCCCGCACTGACCCACATGGCCGGCGGTTTCTCCGTCCACGCGCCGTCCCAGGCGCCGTCTCCGCCGCAGTCGCCCGCCACCCGCCGCCCGCGCCCCGTGCTGCAGCAGCCCCGCCTCCGCCATCATGCCTCCGGCCACTGCGTCAGGTGGGTGCACGTGCTAGCAGAAGAGGAGCGAACGGTCGCCACGCGGGGAAGGGGAGTGGCCCAAAAGGCTTACGGAAAGATTTACAGGGCTTGGCGCAAGGTTGTATGTGTGGGGGGCGCGCGCGTGTGCAGAATTAAATGGCCTCCAACATTTAGTTATCAAACAGTGTTTTCTTTCTTGTTTTGGAAATTTTGATTTTCGGCGTTTTAAAAAATAACTTTTGATTTCAAAATATGTTTTCATTATATGCATTAATAAATTTGTTTTGAAATTATTTTACTAGAAAATTGATGCAGGTTACAGAAATAGCCATTTTTTGCTGCGGAGTAAAGAACGAAAACTATTTAACGTTGACTTTTGACAAGCCCTTACAATGATTTATTAAACAATATTTTGATAGATTAATTGGTAATTTGGCGAGGGATGGTTCAATTTATTAGTTACCCTGCTGGCTGGTAAGATAAGGTAGTTAGATTGTATCTTGTATTTTTTATACGGTATTCACTGTCTGTTCATTAACAACGATCATTTTCATTTCTATCGAAGCCACATTCTTCTCCAAAAACAAAGTATGCGTTCAAAAAATCCTTATGTAATGTCATTCGTTAAAACTTTGGTTTCTACTGTGAAATTCTGGATTGTAGGGGTTTATCTCCGTCTTGTACACATTTGCAATAACCCTATAAGTGATTTATATCCGTGTCATTCTAATCTCCTTCATAAATCGTAGTTGAACTTGCTATTGGTACGATGAGCTTTCATGTTTTATATGTGAAGTTCCATCGCATCACGAACTAATATTATACCCTCGTGTGACAACTTACAACCCCTACAACCCTCACCCCTTGGGAGAAAAACTCCAAGAAACCTTTTTGTTGCTGCTGGTGGCAACGAAGGACAGACAAAACGTAATAATTTACGTGTTTCAATAACATTTTTTCATTTACAATGCAAATATCCTACTGCTATCGCGTCGCAAATATCCAAACCGCCGTTGCGTTCGAGTCAATGCAACGAGTTGTCCTACACCCTGGACTTGCCGCAAACCAAAAGTAACAAGACAAACTATAGTTTAAAAATAAGAAAGGATGTTCATCCATGAATTCTGGATCATTACATCCTCGTTGAATATTGGATTGTTTCAGTAAAATCCGGAAGCATTTATAAGAAAATATTTCTATCACCCGTAGACGATGGTGAAGTTAAGCAATTTTCTAATTAAAAGTTATACAAACTCGAATTCAAGTAGAATTAAATAAAAGTTCGGAAACATAACACAAATAATTATACGACAGCATTGTGGACTTAACCACATGCATGACGTCCGATTTTGATGATAATTGATGTCTGAAACTTGTTTGCAAAATTAAGGCAAGATAGTTTGCTCTCAATACTTTTTACAACACTTTTATTAAGGTTACGCAAACATTATTATCTACAAAACTAGCAATTCATGGAGTGCACAATACATGCTTAGAAATGTTAGGAAATGACATAATTTAGTTGTGAAACGTCCTTGAGTTTAGAGAAAGGTCATGAGTCACTTTTGGCTATTCGCGTCAAGATTCTGTACAAGATTTCTAAAATCCTGACGGTGTAGTTTTGCCCGAATGTTCGTGTTCGTACGTGCACGTGCACGTGCGCGTGTTTGTCGTATGCATAACCGGACAAGGGCGAAACTTCTCAATAAGCTTTGCACATCAAATAATGAAACCAGTTCGTAATGAAATAATTATTTTAAAGAATATCTTGAAGTGGATGATTTGAATGTATTTAAAGTTTTAAATAAAAGTATTAGTTCTTAGTGCCTCGAAATATCTTCCTTACAACCTTGTTGATTAATTCTACTAGAGTAATTTTTATTATCGATATACATCTTCAAATTCAAATGTATCAAATGTGATACCAATTTGTGAATTTTGTTTTTGAACAAACTAAAACGTAAGAAAGTTCGATAAATGTTTTTTGTGGCAGTAAAATACCTTTCACGTCTTAGCAAGCGTTAAACCTTGAAAATTGTTTTGTCGGATTGGAATGAATATGCAAGTTATTAAACAACGTTTTAAATTATGTTTTGCACATTACGTAAATATTTCGTTTTTGTATTGTTTGCCGCTCTACTGTACGTTTACTGCATTGTGAGCTCCAGAGTAAGGGGAAAATGTTTTGGTTTGAAAACTAGAAGTCACTATAGATCGAGTTTTTTTGAAACAAAATTGAGGTCGACCCGTCCCCATAAAAGTCGATAATAGTAAAGGATGATGATCTTAGCTTCCCAGTTCCTAAGTTAAAAAAATTAAATGAAGTTAAATTAAATTTCTCTTTACTCAACAAAGCCATTCAACTCCTGCAATCAGATTTCAATTCACAACACTGACCCCTCGTATTTACACATTCACAGGTGCCCCAACTGCTTAGTCTAAAATTGTAGTTAAACTGTTTGTACTTGCCCGAAGACATGCTTTTTAAGGATGCATATTCTATTTCGTACAGAGGATATATAGTAGGTCCAACACGCTCAAATGTATTGCTCTCTTAAATATCCGTATGCGCGATGGTTATTGTTGGCTTCGGTTAGATTTTGGTAATATGGTGATCCACAAATACCAATTTATTTCTTCCATTAATAAACTAGATAATTTATTTTTCTTCTCCAGTTGGTTAGAACACTGACACTTACACACAATCTTGTGCCATCACCAACATGTAGAAACTTTGTTGAATTCTATATTCCTGCAGATTAAATGGGACGATAGATTCTATAACGTTTATTGATCCCTAGGTCATACAGCAGCTATTTACATCATGCAAGTAAATTGAAGAGCATCGTTTATAAAGAGTATAGTTAAAAGTCGCAAGGCCAATTAATTCAGTTTTGTTTCTAACAGTTACAACTGTCTTCAAATACTAGGTACTCAAAATAGGAATGAAAAAATCTATTCGAAAAGTTTTGTTTTTTGCCCTTTCACTTGTGTTGTAGTTTTCTCTCCCTTTCTCCAATATACCCCTGTGATTATGTTTAATGTATTGAGACAAAACTGTATTGTTTAGCCAAGTTTTAACTGTTGCGCTGCTTTCTTCAAGTTTTTTTATAGCAAGACAACGCCTTTCGAGCCATCAGTCGGTGATCCAGATATCATCATCTGAGATTATGACCGTTAGGAAAGGGACTTTCATTCCGCCAGGAAATCGTATCTCATCAAAGACCGGTCGTGTTTTGTGGTATCTCTGTGGCATCTATTCTTCAAGGCGGGATTCATTCTGGCCTCCCGCATACACAGGAAGTTAGTGCAAGAGGAGAAATTGAAGGGGTCATAAGGAGCGTTGAGACCTTCACAAAAACGTTTCGAGAAGTGACGTGCAATAATTTCTGGGGAAATGCAATGAATACTTTTTGCCCCTCTGGCTTTCGCAAGGTAGCTTGTTAGGTTAAACAGGAAAAAGGGCGTGTTGTCTTCAAAAGAATATCTCGTAACACAGATTTCACGTAAAGATGAAATATCTTTTTTTTAATTATAGGTTTCTACGACAACGAATAAATACTTTAGGAACAATGGCCCTGAAATATGAAGTAGGTGATGATAGTAAAGTGACAATAAGCTTACCTGAATCAATTATTATTTGAATCGAAGTCATTGTTTGATATCATTTCAAGCAATGTTTGTTAATATATTCCGCAAATACTTTTTCTCGTTTGAAGGACACAGTTGTGTTTGAAGAAAAAGCGAGTTATCGAATATTTGAAAGAGAGAAATTTTTACCTGAAAGTGTTATCTGTTAGATGAGCAGATGTAGAAAAACTAGGAGTGAAAGAAAAGGTTTGCAAAGAAAGTGTTGTAGGTTGAACTCATCCTGACCAACCTGACCAGCAATAAGCCAAATTCTAACTTATGTTACGGTTAAAAAATCTAGAATTTATGCTAAGCACTTAATTGTATTAATTTATCATATAGATGACATTGATAAGACTTATTATCCACGTCCATTTGCAAATATCGATCCCAAAACAAAGCCTATTCCTCAGAGTAGGTCTTCGGTATCGAAACGAGCAAATTGCACTGGACATCAGTAAACTCAGGTTTCCACAATTCTTATTGAGAAATGTGCGCTGTAATGCGTGTACGATTACTTGATTCATCTTACGATATCTTCCGAGACAATGCCTTTTTGTTATCTAATGGGTGTTTCATCACTCAACTCCATTCAGAACAATTTTTACACGAATTATCCACACACACACACACACACACACACAAGCCCTATTGAGAAATGGCTTCCGCTCGACTACTTACGACGGATTCGAAAATATTACAATATACATTTATTTAGTACTGTTAGCAACGATTATTCTTCACTCGCTAATTGTAAAAAAATCTGTATAATTTCATATGAGTGGTTCTTCACGACTAGGAAATGCAATAAATTTCAGAATAATTATCAAAGCCAGGACGCTGAATGTACTTTACGTCATTTATATTGATTTTTAACTGTTTTCATTAATATTTCATACTGTTGTCCAGACCGCATTTTGCCGTGCTCACTTCCTGTTTGTTTTAATGGCATTGTAAATTAACTATTTAAATAAAAGACTAAACGTATCGTATAAACGATTTGCTCCCGGGGCTGCAATAGCATGTAGCGTGAATATTATTCTAAATTATAATACTGATCTTCGTAGATCCATTCTAACTCTCGATGTGCAAAAGGTTAAGTAAAATTAAGTTCTACTGGGAAACGTTTTGTATTTATTTAAATATCAGAGTAACAAAAAATGGGAATTGCAAAAGGTTTTTTTCCAAATAGCATTTTGGAGCTCCTAAACCTATTGCTAAATGAGCAGTTCGCTTCACAGTTACCACGATGTTGTTCACTTACTTCCAAGAAAGCACTGAATTCAATGTGCATCTAACTTTCATATTATATATGATTTTCTTTACTAATATCTTTCATGCAAAGAATCATTCCAGTTCGTTATTTAATGTTTGGCAAACTCTCAACA